CCCTTGGTGTAAGTTCTCCTTGCAGCCACTTGTATTCAGAGTCCCACCGCAGAGCAGGAACCAACCCAGTATCTCAAGAAAGCTTCCTGAAGAAAGAACCAGAAAGAGGAAGAGAAGAGGGGAACAGAAAGACCCTGCTAAGTAGTGGGGCCCCGCTGTCATAGTGTATGCTGTTCAGTATATTACATACTTTACACCACTCCACCCTGAATGCTGAGCTGTATGTGATATACTATATACCCTTGGTTCTCAACTGGTGGGTCGTGAGCCAAAAGTGGGTCGCGACCATGTGTTCAGTGGGTTGCCACATGCCTTCCACTTTTCTAGGTGAGAGGTACCTGAGCCTACACCTAGTGCAGCACTCTCAGTTCTCGTGCCCAGCAGCCATTCAAAATATGCTGCTTGACACCGAGTGTCAGCTTGAGGTGGGATGGGGCTATGGCCGCGAGGGAGCTCCATCCATATGTGCATTGCTTGCAGTTCCCTCGCATGTCCTGTAGAGGTGCCTGGACTGGAGTGATGTCACATTCTGGCCCCGGACACCTCTGCAGGGCACGCAAGGGAGGTGTACAAGCAATGCACATATGAATGGAGCTCCATCACAGCACAGCAGCCCACACTGGACTCCAGGCTGAGGATCCACTTCAGTTCTCGTAAGGAAGGGAGACTGGGTGGACCTTAATAAAAAAGTAATTAAATAAAAAAAATGTGACTGTGTATGTGTGTCAGAATGTCTGTGAGTGTGTCAGATTGTGTCAGTGTTTTTGTCAGTGTTCACACTCGTACAGTCCATTATTCGCATAGTACCGTGCGATTAACACACTGTACCACACAGTTGCAGCTGCCATGCATTCTATTGTGGGTGGTGTGTTGCGTTGCCATTCATTTAATTGGTGCCCCAAACGCCCCTCCCACCCACAGTTTGTACGCCCGCACTGGAACTGGTGGTACCCTAATGCTGTGCGTTCCATTGCAGTGTGACTTGGGTCGTGACTTAATGACCAAGGACAAATGTGGGTCCTGAGGTTACACAGGTTGAGAACCACTGCTCTATACCATAATCACCAGAGTAATGTCATCTAGATGCTATTTCTATGAGATGTAATTCATACAAGTAGGACTTTTAGGGCGCATTCAAACTAAAGCGATCTGCTGCTGTGTTTTATTGCACGCATGCTAATGTGTGTTATGGCACATGTTGGCCTGCATTGTAATAAGGTAGTTTATTCATTGTGAATGGGTTGCCAAAGCACCACAACGGGCAAAAAACCATGCATGGCCCTTTTTACAAAACGCAGCCTACCACATTGCAAGGTGTGTGCATCGTGGTGCCTTGTGCATTTCACTCTACTGTACAGTGGTTTGGGTTGCACGGCACAAAGAACATGTGCATTGCCATGAGTTGTGGCAATGCGTGTTAACAAGTGCATTTTATTGTGTGTTGCCACAAAGCACAAGTGTAAATGGACCCTTATACTCTACTGCGTTTAGCCCCATTCATACTTGAGCATGAGTTGTTTTTTTTTAGATGTTTTTGTGTGTTTTTCATGTTTTCAAACATCAGACGTTTTTGTTTTGGCCAATGGAAGGTAGTATCATCTGTGACATAATATGCCATCATCTTTGTACCTGCTCCCTGGTTTTTTTATGTGGTGTCTTATGCTATCGGAGCTCGCAATCTGGGAAAACTCGACCCCCCCAGGTTCTTCTGAGGCCCTCTGCCTCTTGCCATTATTCATGTAATGGGCATCACTGGGTCATAGAGAAGCTTGTGTGCCCTCACCAGGCACAGTTGAATGTCTCCACATACAGCATAGACACTCCCGATTCCTCCATTTTGTTCACAGGTCTGAGGTTGCGAGGAGAAGAACAGTTGCTAGACGCAAAAAAAAAGCCAAAACGCTTGTGCTGCTTGCATGCAGGTGCTTCCATTAAAGTCTAAGGGGCCAAAAACACGAGACTCTCCCCAAAAAAAGCGCATGTATTTTTTTGTGCGGCAAAAGGAGCGAGGAGTTTAGGTGTAGACCGGCAGCATTGGATATAATGGAAATCTACATGTTGAGCGACAAATCACTCGGGTGTGAATGGGCCTTCGGCCAACACGAGTCATGCACACTGCCAGGGCCGTATTTACTTCTCAGGAGTCTGTAGGCAGAGCAATCTGAAGCCCCTTCTCAGGATAATAAACCCATACCCAGTTGTGTATTTTAGTTTTGTGCTGCCCTAGGCAAGACTAAACTCGGGCACCCCTCTCAGTCTAAATTTGCCCCAACCCACCCTGTTTAGGACATTTTGCATAACCTGTCAGGCACTGGATACAGCACACATGGGTGTCTCAGGAGAGCTGTGCAGTGTTTGTGGTGGGCTGTGTGGGGTCTATGGTGGGCTGTGCAGGGTCTCAGGAGGACTGGGCAGAGACTTTTTCCCTGATACATGTGCTGCTCCTCTTACCTGCAGCCCGAAGTGACATTAGTACCAACAGGATACATTGCAGTCCCCCAGTCTGCTTCTGGGTCATCCCACCATCAGATCACATGCCATGGCTAGCCCCGATTCACCCGCAGCTTCTCCTCCACCTCCTCTACAAAGCCAGCCAGACTGGGCCCTCCCCTCCCCTCCGGCTCTCTAATTAGGCAGCCGCTTTTAGGGCCTTGCGGCCGCCTAGTTTGCCTCATTAGGCAGCCGCTGCTGCCTGATTCTGTGCTGCTCAGCCTCAGCCCACCGGGCAAGTGCCCAGTATGCCCCTCTCTGCCTCATTGGTTTGGGGTGGCATTATCTGCCGCCCCACCTGGAAAGTGCCGCCCTAGGCAAATGCCTAATTTGCCTTGCAGTAGATACACCCCTGCCCATACACAAGACCCCTGCTCATCCCCCCTCCCTGTCTTTCCTGAGGTCATGCGGCCCCCGGTCAGGCTGGGAGGACTGTAAAAAAAATATAGGTAATAAAGTTGGGCAACGCCCTTCTGTGGGTGGCGCCTATAGGCAGAGTTGCCTAACAGGAATTTCGGCCCTGCACAATGCAGTATTAGGAATGTGACTAACATTGCACTACAGCGCCATCTACAGCTCAAAAGGCTCTAAGTGCAGGGATCAGACACTGGGGATCAAGACACAGATGACAGATATGTCACTGAGTGTAGGGATCAGAGATCAGACACTGGGGATCAAGACACAGATGACAGATATGGCACTGAGTGTAGGGATCAGAGATCAGACACTGGGGATCAAGACACAGATGACAGATATGACACTGAGTGTAGGGATCAGAGATCAGACACTGGGGCTCAAGACACAGATGACAGATATGTCACTGAGTGTAGGGATCAGAGATCAGACACTGGGGATCAAGACACAGATGACAGATATGGCACTGAGTGTAGGGATCAGAGATCAGACACTGGGGATCAAGACACAGATGACAGATATGACACTGAGTGTAGGGATCAGAGATCAGACACTGGAAATCAGGGACAGATGACAGATATGGCACTGAGTGTGGGGATCAGAGATCAGACACTGGGAATCAGGCACAGACGACAGACAGGGCCGCCGTCAGGGGGTATTGCCGATGCTCATGTAAGGGGCCCGGGCAGCCTTAGGGGCCCGCCCGGGACCCTTACATGAGTATCGGCCGCCGGTGACAAACAGACATCCCCACTCTCCCGGACTCTCCGGGATCATTCCCCTTTTAATTAGCGGCTCCCGGCTGCCCGGGAGAGATACACTTCCTCCCGAAAAGGTTTACTCTGCTTGCGAGCATTCCTTTGCCTTTTTAAATTTTTTTAATTTTGACGACTAGGGATGGGCTCAGTCGTGTTCGCAGCTCCACGTGCCGAGCCCGCCAGGAAGCTGACAGTGCGCAGTGCCAATCACAGGTACTGAGACATTTCCCAATCTCTGCAGCTGCGGACCAGGAACATGTCTCAGTACCTGATCCACCCTCCGCGGATGGGGGGAAGAGGGCACCTCACTGAAATTGCTTCTTTCCGGTTGGGATCCCTGGGAGGGAGATGCAGCCCTGTCCAGCCCACACATGGATCAGAGATGAAATGACAGGCATGGCAGTGAGTGCACGGATCAGAGATGAAATGACAGGCACGACACTGAGTGTAGGGATCAGAGATGAAATGACAGTCATGGCAGTGAGTGTAGGGATCAGAGATTAAATGACAGGCATGACACTGAGTGTAGGGATCAGAGATGAAATGACAGTCATGGCAGTGAGTGTAGGGATCAGAGATTAAATGACAGGCATGACACTGAGTGTAGGGATCAGAGATGAAATGACAGGCATGGCAGTGAGTGCACGGATCAGAGATGAAATGACAGGCATGACACTGAGTGTAGGGATCAGAGATGAAATGACAGTCATGGCACTGAGTGTAGGGATCAGAGATTAAATGACAGGCATGACACTGAGTGTAGGGATCAGAGATGAAATGACAGGCATGGCAGTGAGTGCAGGGATCAGAGATGAAATGACAGGCATGACACTGAGTGTAGGGATCAGAGATGAAATGACAGTCATGGCACTGAGTGTAGGGATCAGAGATGAAATGACAGGCATTACACTGAGTGTAGGGATCAGAGATGAAATGACAGTCATGGCAGTGAGTGTAGGGATCAGAGATGAAATGACAGTCATGGCACTGAGTGTAGGGATCAGAGATGAAATGACAGGCATGACACTGATTGTAGGGATCAGAGACAGATGCCAGGCATGACACTGAGTGTAGGGATCAGTGATCAGAGCCCCTTTGTTTGTACACATACTGCACTCACTGACAGTCAGCCTCTGATTCCTCTTTGTTCCTGGGTGCCCGCCCCCTGGCCGTGCTGGGCTGTGATTGGCGTCTGGGGGTGTCAGTCAGGTTGGAGTGGGACATGCAGGCTATGTCCAGGCATTGCTGGGCTGGGATAACGCAGCTGCCGCTCGCTTACCGGATCTGCAGCCTTTGTTAACGGCTCCGGGACCCCTTCTCCTCTCCGGGACCCCCTTCTCCTCCCCGGGACAGCTGGATGCAGCAGATCAGCCATGCAGAAGCACTGCAGAGGTAAGAGGAGCCCGGGGATGTGTGATCGGGGGATGTGTGCCCACCCGGAGCCCGGCTCATGTGCTCAGACAAGGTGCCAGCTTCCTGTACATCAGCCGAGGGGGTGACAACCTTCTGCCTGACTGGGATGGTGATCTGTCACATGTGTGATGGGCACCCAGATGATGACATAGCCCGGGATTGCCAGTGTAGTCCCAGCATTGGTCCCTGGAAGTCACTGTGATCATCAGATGTCACCAGAGGTACAATGAATGCTGAATACAAAGTCACTCCTCTCATCACTGAAAGCATCTGTGTTACCAATGAATACAAATGTCATTTATTTTATATGGTAATGTGGTCTGCTGTGTGTATGCGGATATAATATACCGTAGTATCGTATATTATAGTACAGTGTATGTGGATCTTGTGTAGTATGTAGTGTATGAGGATCTTGTGTAGTATATAGTATATGTGGATCTTGTGTAGTATATAGTGTATGTGGATCTTGTGTAGTATATAGTGTATGTGGATCTTGTATAGTATATGTAGACACTGTATAGTGTATATGTAGATCTTGTAGAGTGGGGATCTTGTATAGTATTGTATAGTCATAGTGTATGTAGACAATGTATAGTGTATGTGGATTTTATATATTACACTACGTGGATCTTTGTATAGTGTATGTGGATCTTGTATAGTATAGTGTGTGTGTGGATCTTGTATAATGTACTGTATGCGGATCTCATATAGTGTATGTGGACCTTGTATACTGTATGTGGTTCTTGTATAGTGTATGACTTTGTATGGTGTGTGTAGTGTATGTGCATCTTGTATAGTGTATGCGGACTTTGCATAGTGTGTAGTGTATGCGGACCTTGTATAGTATAGGTCCCTTGTGTTGGTTTTATTTCCCCCTCCTGTGTGAGCAGCCTGATGGGGATTGCCGTGCAAAGCAGAGAGGGCCCCGCGTGCCCGCTGTGGCACACGTGCCATAGGTTCGCCACCCCTGTCCTAGACCAATATAAGCACTTTGCTCTTGCAGCGCGGGGGTAGCCCTGCTGCAAGCGCAAGGGTTAATTATTTTTTTTTAGGCTCCTCGATGTCTAGCACAGCACAATAGTCTACTATTGTTGTATCTTCTATAATGCTGATTGGTTGCCCTGGGCAACTGCTCCAGATTTTGCCTGCTCCAGTTTTGATAAATTCCCCACCAATGTATCTAATTCTCTGTCTGCCCACCATGCCACCCTGCCCCTGGCACAGTCACATCTGTGAACGGCTCTCTGGCTGTAACTTTTTTCTTCCCTGTGAGCGCCGAGCCTGGACGCGGCCTCCTCCCTCTGATTGGTGGAAGCCCGGGCTTCGCTCAGCGCGACGTATTTCAATTTTTCCTTTGGGAATTCTGTCCTCGCGTTGGAAAACAGCAACTGAATGAATTGTGTAACGGACGTCGCTGTGCTGCCAAGCTCTGTCCTGCAGATGTGTTTGGCAGCCAGCTGGTTAACGCTATACGCGGTGTATAATGGACCCGTCGTAATGTCATTACCAGGCTTTGCGTCTTCCTCTCATTTCATTTATTCCATTACACGTGCGTCCTTCGCTGCACGCGGACAATCTTATTGCCGTTTAATGAAGTGCTTTATCCTGCCGGAGCTTTCCTGCTCGTGTTTGCGGCTTGGGATGAATCGTACGGCTGCTTTTTTCTGATCGTTAGAATGCTCCGTCGCGCGGCAGCGGTATAACCCTGGCAGCCATCTTTGGTTTGTGTGTAGTCCATAGGAAAGGTCAGGAGCTTGTCAGTAGATCTGGTTCATAGATTTGAACACAAATGGCATTCTTTAAAGTGGAAAATCCAGCCAAAAGTTGAATCCGCGGTTGTAATGTGTACATGTGAAGGGATTGGCTCGCCAAAACGTTTCAAATCTCTTCAATCACTGCTGGGATTAACGCATGCAGGCCACAGGGTGACACCGCCTTTTAGAGTCTGCGGCTCTACAGTTTACGGTGTCACCTCTAGACTGCTCACAGGAATATAAATGAGCATCCTTATGGTAGTCAGGACTCTGTCATGCACATCTTGGACAATTTCCTGAAGCCAGGTCGCCGCAGCCCCTTAGAGGAGAACTATGGGGTCAGGGCTTTTCTCCATAGTTCTCCTAAGGGTCACAGGAGAACACAAACTAGCGTCCTCCAGTCACCCAAAGCTCGGTATATATACTGAGACGCCGCACCCGGTGCAGATCCCGACAATACTGTCTGGATCCACTCAGCTGCCGGATTGACAGCTGGATCTGCCTATCCAGAGGCAGAGCTATCTGTACCCGCCCCTTCCCCCATCCATTTCACCAGTCAGCGCTGGAGGATCGGAGCAGGGAGGGGGGGGGATCCCTGTAGGGAGCCGTGAGTGACAGTCACCGCTCTCTGCAGGGAGATGATCGAGAAGTGAGCGAGCGCCGGTATGTGTTCTCTCACTTCCCGATCTATTGAGCCGACGTGTGACTGACGGCTTCATTGTCACGGGTCGGCTCGAACTATGAGGCTGAGTGAAAATCGCACACCTCATAGTTCTCCTTTAAGCATTGCAGCTGGCGCCTAACTTTTGAGTTTTTCTCTAGTTGTTGTCAATGAAGCTGGCTCCTAAAAAAAAACAAAATCCTGCTGGCTCCTGGATTGGGCTTCCTGGCTCCTAATTTCCATATTAATTTGTCTACCCCTAGCTTACCACCTATGGTACATCATCGCAGAGCCAATGAGGGGAATTTATCAAAACTGGAGCAGTTGCCCAGGGCAACCAATCAGATTCTCTCTTCAGTTTGTTCAGTTAAGATTTGAAAATGAAAGAGAGAAGCTGATTGGTTGCCAGGCACAGCTGCTCCAGATTTTGTCTGCTCCAGTTTTAATAAATTCCCCTCAATGGATATATTAAAGGGTATCTATGGTCAAAAACTAAAAATAAATCTGTATTTCTATATTGAAGTTCTATCCCACTCCTAATAACCAAATTGATCTAGAAGTTTATAAACTAACTTGTTAAAGATGTCCATAGGATGTACTTCCTCAATGCAAGGACACAATTTCACTCAGCCCTATGAGTATGCACTTCCGTGTGTCAAAACCCACAGAGCCTGCTTTCTGCACTACAACTTAATGTCTAAACAATGTAACATTATCATTGCTTGCTGGAAGCATTGCATGATGGGATATGTAGTCGTAAGAAAAAAAAAATATATTTAATGAATGTCCTCCCTTCCATATATACATTTATTTATTACAGGTATTTATATAGCACCGACATTTTACGCAGCTCTTTACATAGTGGCACATTCACATCAGTCCCTGCCTCAGGGTCCATTCACACCACTCCAGACCAGACCAGATTGTTTCCTCAGGGGCGTAACTAGAAATCACAGGGCCCCATAGCAAAATTTTGTATGGGGCCCCGTGATTTCTAGTTATACCGCTTGCAGAGCTCACTCGAGATCCCACTTGAGGGAGAACCTGCAGAGCCCACCACAGGACTCTCTATGGTGGGCTCTGCAGGGTCACCCTCAGGTGGGCTGGTCGCACTCCTTACCTCATCCGTTGCCGGGCCCGCCTCCACTGCCGGTGACGTCAGAGGTTCGGGAGTTGATGATGTTGACAGAACACCGGGTCCAGCTAGCTCCACCGCCGCTGCCCGCTCTCATTGACTCTGGAGACGAACGCGCTGCTGCACAGATGATCTGAACAGCGGCGTGTTCGTCTTCAGCCGCCAGTGAAAGCCACCAGCAGAGGATCCCATAGCGACCCAGGCGGCCCGCACGGCATCTGGCCAGGCCCCACTGTGCCCCAGGCCCCAGGCCCCCTATGGTGATTGTTACGCCACTGTGCATCCTAATGTATCCCCATGCTATTTCTGGCCTCTGTTCACACCAGTGCAGTCCGTTCCAGACCAGACCAGACAAATACTGCATGTCTCATTTAGTCTCGTCTGGAAGGCACTAGAATGCATACAAATGCATACAAACGCACTGGAACTCACCTGAAAGCCTATTTTAAGCTAAGAAAATAAACAAAACGGCTCAGAAACGCCGGAAAACCAATGCATTGTGTTCCAAATCTGGTCCGGAAAATGGTGTGAACCTACCCTCAAGGAGCTTACAATCTAAGGTCCCTATCTCACATGCATACATACGAGGGCCGATTTAGGCTGGGCACACACCTTACAACCATTGCAAGACTTCTGTCTTGCGATGGTTGTAAGGTACTTAAAAAAACGTACGATCTGCCTATGTTGCATAGGCAGATCGTACTTGCGATGATCGCAAGCCACACCCGCAATGCCGAATGGGCAGTGTGCGCTTGCGGCAGTGTGCGGCTGTTATCGTACGGACATGCCACAAACCCGCCGAACATCGTACGATGCTCGGCGGGTTTTCAAACATGTCCGTAAGTTTAAAGTCGTGCGACCTTACAGTAGTAGAGGTCGCACGGCTTCCACACACCTTACGATCATCGTACGATCGCGGGATTTCCCGCGATTATCGTACGATAATCGTAAGGTGTGTGGGGACCCTTAGACAGGAGCCAATTAACCTTCCAACATGTCTCTGGTGTGTGGGGGGAAAGCAAAGTCCCAGGGGGAAACCCACACAAGCACAGGGAGTACATGCAAACTCCCTGTAGATGACCGGGATTTGAACCGGGGACCCTGAGTGCAAGGCAGAGGTGCGAACCACTAAGCCACCGTGCTGCATATATCTCACTTGAGCAAATCATTTTCTTTTTTTCTGTGGCCATTAGCTTTGAATTATTAATGATTGGGCCGTTCCATATGGTAGTACAGGCTAGGCTGTTCTTCCCACACTAACATATGTCATCCCTTGGGGTCTGTGATTGTCTTCATGACAACAAAGGTCCTCGACTGCCATAAGGGGAGGATTGGCAGAACAAAACCACAACATCCCCTGAAATACCATGGGGCTCGCTGCTGCCTGAGGTCTAATGGTGTCTGCTGAATATTTCATATAGTGTTTGTT